GAAATCTAATCTTTTATATGAGGTGGTTTCAGCTTTTTACCTCGGCACTTCGCGTCACGTCGGTACGCTACTTTTTCTCTAGAATAGTCGGTAGGTTTTTCGCGATCTTTATTAGCTTTTCGAACAACCTTTTCCTTTTGGGTTTTCGACATGTCATAGATAAGGCTATAAATTAATTTTGTCCTATTCTTGTGTTCTTGAAGGTAATTGTTCATTAATTCTCGATCAACGTCTAGATCAAAAGGATCTCTAACGTCTAAATGTCCGTTAATAATTTCAATTGGTTTTCGTTTCGTCACTGAATGTATGGACTGATTGTAGCCAAGGATTGCATAAGGCATCAAAGAATTATCATTCTTTTTTGGAAATTGCAATGCAAGAGCTCTTATATGTTCTGTTATAGTGGAGTGGAATCGTTCAATAGGTGAATTACTATTTGAATTTTTGGAAGTTGTAAAATGTATCTTTATCTTATGGAGTTTTGCAAACTCTTTTATTAAGGAGTTGTTGAACTCAGTACCAGAATCTGCAACAATTTGGGTGGGCAAACCATGAAATGACATGAATTTGATCAAATTGTCTACAACAGAGATAGCATCAGCTGCTTCGATTGGGAAGGCTTGCGCATATTTTGAAAAATTGTCAATTATTGTTAAAAATTTCTCATTGTTAGCTTGATATACATCTAAGTGAACAATTTGGAATGGCACTTTAGCTGTCGGGGTAATCTCAAATTCAATTCTAGGTGGATGTCTTTCATATTTGCCTTGCAGGCAAATATCGCAAGTATTGACGTATAACTTCACGTCATCATCAATGTGGGGCCAATAATATTTTCTTTCAATTTGGTTTACAGTCTCAATGATTCCTTGGTGATTAGTTTTGGTTTCGTGATTATACCTCATGATTTCCTCTTGTCTCAAAACGTCAGTAATATTTTCAAGCTTTTTACTGCACTTAACTAATTTGAACGCAGAATTTTTGAATGTATTAGATACAAGGTTCACGAGATTTTTATACATTTCGTCGTTATGATTATCTTCAAAATAAAATGCATAAGTACTTTTTGGTACACCGTAGTCTTTCAGAAAGTGTATAATAGGAGTTAAATCACCATTAACAATATTCAATGTGTACAAGAATTTCTTCGGATCCCATAAGGTTTGAAGTGTGAGTTTTCTGGGCATACTAGCTTTTTTAACAAAAATTTGGTACTTGAAATCATTGATAGGTTTTTCTACAGGGTTAATTTCTTGAATGGGGCTTTCATCCTCGGAGTGAATAGTTACGTTTTCAACTCGTTCACTCAAGTCTAGCAAATTGCGTACTGTTTGTTCATCACCTACATTATTTTCTATAGACGTTTGGTCATCTGCAGGTTTTTCGGAAAAGGCTTTATTGAAGGTTTTCATGTATCGTATTCTTCTTCATCTTGGATTTGTGATGTAGAAGGTTGTGGGTCAGTTTCGGTAGCGTGAATTTGAATGTGAGTGAGTGCATCAGCATTTTTGCTTTCTTTACCTTTTTTGTATATAACTTGATACTCAAATTCGAAAAATTTTAAGCGCCATCTTTGTAATCTAGAATTTGGTTCTTTTAAAGTCATTAACCACTGAAGCGGTTTGCAATCTGTTACAATTTTAAATTTTCGTCCAAAAAGATAATGTCTAAAATACTTAGTTCCATAAACTATTGCTAAACATTCTTTTTCAGTCGCACTGTAATTTTGTTCAGAATCATTTTTAATGTTCTAGATGCATAAGCTATTGGTTTGTCAGAGCCAATAGGGCCTTGAGAAAGTATAGCTGATACAGCAAAATTACCTGCGTCGGTAGTCAGTACGAAGGGCTTTTCAAAATCCGGATATTGTAATAATGGTTCGTTCGTTAAGAGATTCTTACAATGTTCAAAAGCTTTGAGAAATTTTTCGTCATGTTTATTTTCTGCTCCTTTTTTCAAACATAGGGTGAAAGGGCGAGTAATTTTAGCAAAGTCCTTAATGAACTTACGATAATAACCAATCAAACCTAAAAACTGTTTAATTTCGCGGGTGGTTCTGGGCAATGGATATTTGAGAATGGCTTGAATTTTAGCACAACAGTCTCTCTTCGAATGCTGAAAAACTGAAGTTACTTCGAATGGTTCTTTATAAATACATTGTGGAAAATGCAACTGTGCAAGATTAGGATTCAAAAATGATTTCGTTGCACCAGTATCAATAAGAAGCTTTGAAGGCGGATTTTTAATATCAATATAAGGTAACTCTGTATTGTCATAAATCGTGTTTAAGTATATTATGTCTCCTCTATCATGGGCACGGCCATCTGAAAATTTTGTTTTTCTTCATCAGGCTTTTGACCAGTTTCAGAAACATCATTTTGTGTCTCATCAGGGTTTTCGTAATATACATCAGAACAGTCATACTGATTTTCACTATGCTGACAATATTCCGAGTAATAGTCATCGTAAGGGTTGTTTCCAAAATTTTGAACATAAGGATCATTCTCAACGTTATGTAATTCTTGAGAAACAAAGTTCCTTGGGCCAGAAGGCCTATAATAATTATTTTGGAAATTCCTATTTCTATTGATGCTACTAACACCACTCATAGGAGTAGATCTGTAGGAAGGTCCTTGGTTAGGCGGATTACGCCAAACATTAACATTATTTCTATTGCCAAAAACTTGTGCGTTTGTTGGAAATTTTTGTGGAAGAGGATTTTGTCTAGGTTGAATCGGAACTGGTCCTCTTGGGAACTGAGGCTGATAATTGAAATTTTGCTGAGGCCTAAATTGATTCATAGGCTGCATTTGAGGTTTGAACAAATTTTGAAAATGTGGTTTGGATGGAAGTGCAGGCTGAGGTGGCTTATTGAAATTTGAATGTGCACCAGCCTTTTGTAAATATCTAATGTTATTATCTTCTAAAATATAAGCTTGAGCTTCGGCCAAATTTTTAGGTTTCATCGACCGAATCATGGAACTTTGTGGCTCCTTTAAACCTACTAAAAGTGTATGCAATGCATGACTATCATACAGTGCCTTTTTACTAGTTTTAATAGCATCAACTGTTTTATGAATATTTATATAGTTATGTAAATGATTCAGCATGGTTACAACTCTAGAACAAAACTGTAAAGAGCTTTCATTAGAATTTTGTCTAAGGGCAGTCATATCTGAGATAAGACTACTCTCGTTTATTTGATCACCAAAATGAGCAATTAGCAAATTTTTGATGCTGTTCCAGTCTGTGGAACCGCTAAGAGAAAATACTTGCTCTGCAGCACCAGTCAATTTTGAGAAAATGCCATGCAGCAGTATTTTGTTTTGGACACATCCTGTATCATCAGTGTTCCAATAGTTATTTAATAAATCTGTGTTTATTTATAAACATCTATATAGTCTACAGGGATTCTCATTCTGGGACAATTTGGAGTAATTTTATGTCGAACTGGGGGGCACTATTTCTACTGGGGGTCGTCATTATTATCCTTTCTATAGTTTCGTTTGCTTGCCTTATTTCTCTACTTCCTAATTCTAAGCTTGCTATGCGATTAGCGATTTGATCTGCACTATCACCTTCGAAAGGATGTACAGGTCCGGGTGAGTCACTCATAAAATAACAAGGATAGAATGAGCACTTACTGATAGGTCCAGAACTTCATCCCGTTCTTGGCCTAGGTTCCTCAGGTGGACGTCGACTTCAACAGGACAAAGGGCACTTGTGGTCCAAATTCTTTCTTCTTTCTTCAGTCGTACTGGCTCGTCACGGAGGTTCGTGATTCCCAATTAAGTGTTCGGACTCAATGGCTAATCGGCGAAAATCCCTTTGGGAATCCTACTGCGGGCTGCGCCAATTATGTAGTCGGAACTTCAAACTTCGTTTTTATAAAAACTTTATTTGGTTCCAACAATAGTTTACATGGACCGAACCGGAATTACAGTGTGTGTGTTGGCTGTGACTGAGATTGAATGACTGACTCATAATTAAGATATAATCGTTAATATAAACCAAAAGTGATGAGCTAGTAAAAAGGAATACAATGCAATTATTATATCAATTAATAAAGTGCTAAATGACAGCAACATAACTCGGTGATTGAGAGGGCAACAATGGATTACATCGCCCGTCGACTCCACATTTCTATTAAACGAGACGTTTTTGATGGTATGAGGGTGGTCATTGAGAGGAGTCAGAATCTAAATACCCCCCGCCACTTACCCCACCGCACACGACGATTGAGAGGGCAAAGAATGGTCATATCATCGGATTAAGGTGTAGGGATGACAAGTTTGAAGTGGGAAAAGAGCGGTGCTGCTCGTTCGCCCGGTCGATGAGTTATAGTAGTGGGGGGAGGGAGGTGGGGAGGGGGGAACACTATCCGTCGACTCATTTCTATTAAACAACACGTTTTCGATGCAATGAGGATGGTCATTGGGAGGACTCGGAATTTAAACACACCCCGCCCCTTACCCCACCACACAATTGCTTTCGGCCTCAATCAACTACTACTGTCCGTTAGGATATTCTAATAGGGGCGGCAGAACCCCAAATATGTGAGCAATACTCGAGGCTAGGTCCTATCTGGGCCTGGTACAGAGTGTAGAGGTCATGCGGAGAAAAGTACTTCTTAGCCCTAAACAAATAGTCTAGCTTTTTCCCAGCAGCTGCCGCTATTGTTGAGATGTGTTTGTTCCAGATCGAGTCCTCGGTGAACTGGACTCCGACCAGCCAGAGTATACGACCCCTTGATAGAACTAGGCCATCCATCGGAACCGGATAAGCGCTAGGACGCTTCTTGTTCATCAAGATGCATGAATGCATCGTTTACCTTCCCCTTTCGGCATAGCATATCATGTTAGCGCTAATGTTGGTTCCAATGAGTTGGCTCAATATCTGAATGCGACATGTCGTCATATATGTATCATATAATAATTAAGATAGCGAATAGAATATAGAAATGATTCAAACCGAAATACATATCTCTTATTTCTTTTCAGCCTCGAACATCTCGAGAGTTAACTCCAGAGATCCCGTCCCAGGAGAAACAATTAGAACTGAAGAAATGCCCTTGATTCTAGTTGGTGGTATGTTCAGTAGTTCATTTCTAAGCAATATGATAAGTAACAGTGGACAGAATTTTTTATAATTTGTTCAACTAAACAGATACATATATGATTTTTCGCCTCCGACAAATCGTTTTTAGACTTTTTCACTTATTTAAAAATAAATACTCACTGAGTTTTTTCTGAAGTGAATTGTTTTTCTGTTGGAAGAATTAAAATTACAAAAGATCCGGAAGTCAATGTTTTTTGCATAAAATTCCCTTAAAAGGTCCGGACGATGTTGGACATATTTTATATCTTACACATATTGTAAGCCCATTAGACAAGACAAAAATGGCGGCTCTGTTGGAAAAAATATTCTCATAGGAGTAAGTAATGATCGGATGAGTACAAGCTCAGATTTTATAACTCATGTTTGAAAATACATTTCTTTGTTATCACTGACAAACATAGTATCCATGCTGAGTTCCCAAAACAGCCACTTTTGTACGACAGAAAATAAAAATAAACCCATAAAGCAAAAGAGGTATAATGGACTAGAATTCTTGAAATAAATTATAGCCTAATCAAATTAGACTAATATACTCGTGGTTTGCAATTTAATTGTAATGTTTGGTCTCATTGATGTAAGTTGCTCAGGCGGCTAGTTAAAACATGGACGCATAAAATGGGTGCACCAATTTTTGTGGGAAAACTTTTGATCCAACAACAAAGATTTATAGGTACTTCAAATACCTACAAAATGAGACAACGCATAAAAAGATCGGATTAAGAGATGAAAAACTAGCCAAAATGCAGCCTTTGGCACTTGTTCGTAATGCGACGAGAGTGTCACGCAGTTACCTGAAATTCCTCAAGTCCGGAGGTCTTACATTTCTAAATTACTATAGCAAAAGTGGAGTCGATTGATCAAGTACTTTTTGAGAATTTCCAATTGTTATTTCATCTCAAATGACTTGTCTTCCAGCCAAAACTACTAGTTATATATATATACAGGGTGGCGCATCGAAAACGACACAGACGTATTTACTGGCAGCTCAGTTTTTTTTTGGAAAAACGCTCAGATTTTCTTATCGAGAAGGACACAAGTTTTGCAAAAAATCACGTTAACACGTGCAGCCTCCTGGGCGGGGTTGACACCAACCCTAAAATCTTAAATGCAAAGGGGGGTCGAGTGATACCTTATTTCAAAGGTCTTTCAATTTCCTTTATAATGGTGTAAAGTACATGAGCTTCAGTTCAGTAGTTTTTAAGATTTATTGATTTAAAGCTTAAAGTACACTTTAATAGGTACGTCAGATTAGTTTGTACTACTTTCAGAAGAAATTTGACTAAAAGAATTTACTTAATATGTAAATGCTTTTCTTCACTACGCCCATGGTTTGTTTATCATTTTGTTGTTGAAAATAGCTATTGGAGCGTTTTTCTGTGGCAAAAAAGTTATTTCTTGAAGAAAGATATGGAAATATCTCGTACTTATTTTAAATAGAAATGCAGAACATAGTTTTCGATTGATTTGATAAAACTTTGTTGCTAAAATAATTTGTAACGCTTTATTACATAAATTAACCATGGTATATTCCACAGCAGAAAGAGTTGAAATTATCGAAATATTTTTCGGAAATAATCAGTGCGCTAATAGAACAGCAGACATATTTAAGCGACATGAGAACAGTAACGTGCATCGAAAATATGTTTTAGAACTTGTAGCTAAATTTCGGGAAGCTGGATCAGTCGCCAATAAAAAACGCAACATTGAAAATCCCATAAGGAACGAAGCAATAGAAGTGGGTGTTTTAGGGCAAGCTTATGTAGATCCTACGTTAAGTACCCGCAAATTGGAGACTGTGTGTGGTGTTAGTCGACGTACTGTCCAACGGATTCTAAAGGGCCATAGTTTTCATCCGTATAAAATTCACCTGGTACAAGAACTTGATGAAGACGATTTTGATCGGCGATTACAATATTGTGAAGATATGAGTGAACGAATTATAAACGATGACCATTTTCTATTCAACACTTGCTTTTCCGACGAATGTTCCTTTTTCTTAAATGGCGTAGTAATTGGTCATACCTGCCGATATTGGTCCGATTCTAATCCTAGAATTTATCATGAGGTTCATACATAGCAGCCACAGAAATTAAATGTTTGGGCTGGTATTTTTGGCGATCATTTAGTTGGTCCTTTTTTTACCTGAAAATTTGACCAGTGAAATGTATTTGGAATTATTGGAACACGCCATAGATCCTGCATTGACAGCCATAATTTAAAATCAGAATGATCGGCGGTACATTGCGAATAGGTTGATGTTCCAACAGGATGGTGCCCCACCACATTACGCATTACGTGCTCGACAATATTTAGATCAGACGTTTCCAGATCGATGGATTGGTAGAAGCGGTGCCATTGAATGGCCCCCAAGATCGCCAGATTTATAACCTTCGGATTTCTTTATGTGGGGTCATTCATCAGCCAACATCATTAGAAGACCTGCGACAAAGAATTGTGAATGAGTGCCTCCAAATTACTCCTCAAATATTGCAAAATGTGCGGCAACGTTTTGAGCAAAATCTTTATTATTGCATGGAGAGTCAGGGTGGCCATTTTCAACATTTACTTGCCTAACGGGCCAGTTTGCTGCCAAATGTATTGATCTCCACTAATGATGATGTATTAGTTTTATTTAAGCTTTAAATCAATAAATCTTCAAAACTACTGAACTGAAGTACATTAATTTTGTATCATTATAAAGGGAATTGAAATACCTTTAAAATAAGGTATCACTAGACCCCCCTTTCCATTTAAGATTTTGGGGGTGGTGTCACCCCCGCTTAGGGGGCTCCACGTGCTAACGTGATTTTTTGCCAAACTTGTGTCCCCCTCGAAAACAAAATCGCCGGGTATGAGCGTTTTTAAAAAAAAAACTGGGCTGCCAGTAAATGCGTCTGTTTCGTTTTCGATGAGCCACCCTGTATATATAGTATTCATAGTTAATTGCCATAACTGTTAGGAGGAAATATATTTGAATTTCTTTGGGTAGGGTATATATAATTTATTTTATTTATTACTCAAAATCTAATAATTCTCTTCTCACGATTTAATAATAATTGTTAATTTAATTTCCCATTAATTAAAATATAGTTTATTCAACTGCCTCTGGTCGGTTTAACAATTTCTTACATAACATTCTGGAAATCACATCATCTGAAGTGATCTGGCAACGTTGGCACACGCCCACAATTCGTTCCATCTTTCAACACAGACATTGACAACCTTCGGCCTTCTGTCAAAGGGTTCATCTCACTCATTATTCCATCACCACCATTTTGTGCAATCATCAAGTGGCTTCACGATGTAATGCTTTAATGTTTTTTAAATAATTTTTAATCTGTTTTTAACTTCTTGTCATATTTTATATAATTTTGACCATTGTACCATCTATCCAGCTCTCACCATGTTACTGGACGTTTCCCTCATCCTAGACGTAAATAACAATTAGCAACATCCTCACATACTACTGTAAGTTGAGTCAATTTAAATTCATTTTACACTATTGTTGCTACTGTTATCATTGTAATTGCAGCTCCTGATGATGATGGCAAAGTGCATTGAAAGCTAGAGAGAATTAAAAAAGTATAAAGAGTCCTCTTTGCTTAAATTTTGTCGAAGTACCCAACAAAAGGCGGAAGCTTTAATTTTTCACCTATATATATATATATATATATATATATATATATATATATATGATATATATGATATATATTTGGCTTGCATACAATGTGAGAACCGACTGTACACCATACAAAGTGAGGACCACCAGAAGGAATGCAACTACAAATGTGGTTTTACGCATGATGTTATGGCACGCCATTGTTATATCTAAAAGTGGCGAGTATAGGTACATGGAAAGCACTATTTAAAATTTATAAATTTATAACTTGTATATCGGACAAAGTGAGGACGTACAACAAAGTTTCAGGATATATTATCACTTAGCACATACAAAGTCAGGAGCATACATTGTTGACTATGTCAACTGGTTTTTCACAAAGTTCACTTATGGTGGATTTCACCAAGGTTGTCAAAACAGTCCGTTATTCTCCACCGTCAAATACAGCGAATGAGCTTCAAGTTCCAATCAACAAATTTTAGCAACCAATAGCTATGAAATGTTGAAAACAAAATACTGCTAAAGTATGAGATGACAAATTCTCATTGAGACATTACCAGCATACTGAATATTAAGAAATTACATATAGTTCAGTCAAAATTTGAAGAAATGTTTGATTTTTGAATAAAATTCATGTTTTAATTACTATTGTTGATTTTTATCCATGTTTATATTATTTTCTTCAATTGATATGCTATTTTACTGATTCATCATCATCTACCGTGTGTTCTCTTCCTATGAACCTCTTGCAGCTAGCCATTGAGCACCTACCTGATGACAGGCTCTACCAAAAAGTTCATAGATATTGCTATTTTCTAAACATTCATTAATTTACTTGCCGTTCATCAGAACCATTATGGCACCTTATAATGATATTTCCACAAAACCGTTCAGGTTTTTTGATATCCATACATCCATAAAGTTGAATATTTTTCGTTGTTAAGGAACTGAACAAACATCCACACTATACAGGTATTCACAGCGATTAAGAAATTCCCATATATATGTCTTAATGCTACCAGCAAAACTAAAACCTGCAAAAAAACTACAAATTTGCCATATTTTTCTTTTTTCACGAGTACATTTCCTTCGATCCGGACTGTGTCAGAAAGAGTGACTAACTTCAGATTACTTTTCTTATTTGTTTCCTTCCGCTGGATATCGATAATTTTATTCCAATATTTTAGAGTATCGATACTTCCTATAACGATAGGAATCGGTACATAACGATACATTTCGTGGATCTGAAGATCCCTAATCTTGACAGTTTGTCATTCTTGTCAACTGGGCTGCAGGGTGCGGTGTTGCCTTTACTATCTTACATTTTGCTAAAATCTTATGACAAATAAA